GAATATTTCATCCATGAAGTAATGGAATGCAGAGCTATGGGCTGAGCACTAGCCTTTTGGTTTCCGTTTAAATTTACAGCTTGCCAGCATGAAAAGAGTCCCGGGGTGCTAACTAAGATGGTGATTATACTGTCCATCAATTAGTTCACATTTCAGCACAGTGTTCATGGCCCCTTTCCACTCCCTCATAACAAAGGGCTGTTTAACTCAACACATACACACATGCATGCTTTCTCCCAAGCATTTTTACTGAGTTACAGAATGTGTGTCACCCAGATGCGCCTGCCACAATACATTAGTTGTACTGGAAAAATTATCAGAGACATACTTATACTAGTCAACTCCAACAGCTGAGACCAGTTTTTCACTACAATACTATTTTTCCCCCACCCTGCTTTAGAATTAATTATCCTCTTGCCGTGAGACATTCCTCTCCACACTTAAAATTTGCAAGCTAGGCAATCTTTGAGAGTTTTCCAAGGGAAAATCACTTTTAGGGAATCTTCATTTCTGAATGCGGAAAACTTTTGTGTACTTTTTAGATGATTATGACAATAAGCAACAAGAAACTAGAAGTGGTACAGACATAGCGTTGCCAGATAAACACAAGATGCCCAGTTAAATTTGAATTTCAGATCAACAATGACTGTTTTTTTTAACTGCATGTCCCACGTGATATTGAGACATAGACTAAAAAAATATGACTTGTTGACCTGAAATTCAAATTTTGCTGGATGCCCTCAATTTGCAAAATCTGGCAACCCTAGATAGACAGAGAAGAGGGAAGGAGGATAAGATTCATAGGCGTTATAAATACTGGAAGGTGATCTAATGGTGCAATCTATTAGAACAAATGCACTAAACAGGCATACGCTGCCTACCTCTACTTTAATTTATGTATTGTGATCATTTTAAAGTAGTGAAAGAAGAAAGGAAATTTGAGGAAATGAATTAACAGACTTCAAAAGTCATGAGTGTTCTAGGCATTTTCTCGGAGGACCTTTTCATGAGATTCTAGGAATCCCCAGTCATGTAACCACCAGTCCACAAGAAGATCCATCACAGATATCAAACTCCCTTGATAATATAGGAGAGTAAGGGAAGTACTCTTCCACACTGAAAATGAGGATTCACACTGCTTTGCAGCTCTAGCAAGTTTTCTAAGTTGATTTTCATTTTTTGAATAAAAACTAGTGTGATAATTATAAGTCTATCTAATATGTCCTCATAACCACTATAGAAAAGCACCTTGATTAAATAATCAACAAGTGTGTTGAAGGCTACCAGATATACAGTACTGTGCTCAGAATTAAGGTAATAAGATGGGGGAAAAAAAAACAGCTTGTACCCAAAAACATACACGAAAGAGGGATACGAAAATAACTATGATAGACAGCACCGAATATACGTGCTGTATCCAAAGCATGAAGAAAGCGCAAGTGAGCAGGCAGCCGAAGGTGGGGATGGGTCACACCTTCACCAAGGTGAATCCGAGCCTAACCTTGAAGGAAGGTTTCAGTATGCAGGCGGCAAACAGTAGATGCTCCAGGCTTCTGAACAAAGACGGAGTTAAATGGCAACATGTTCCACAAAACACAGAGAAGTGCAGTGAAGAGTTTGGTAGCTGAGAAAGTTGGAGAAAGAACAGCTAAGAGTCACATTATGGAGGAATTTTAATGCTAAGATTATATATTATGGCAATTAGAAGTTATCAAAGATTTTTAAGGGTGAGAGCTGTTTTTCAAAAAGATTACCATAGAAAACAATGTGAAAGCTAGCCTGCAGTGCTTAGAGATCAGGACACGAGCTGAGGAGTATACTGATCATCCAGGAGGCATGTCTATACCAAAGAAGAAGCAGAAGGAAAGACCCATTAGAGAAGACTGACAGTGGCTGGTGAGAGAGGCAGAGCAATATGAAGAAACTGGAGTCACAAAAGTCAGTGAACGAGAATAGGTGGTCAAGAAATGAGAGTTTTCAGGGTGTGGGTATAGCTCAGTGGTAGAGTACATGCTTAGCATGCATGAGGTCCTGGGTTCAATCCCCAGTACCTCCACTAGAAAAAATGTTTTAAAAATTTAAAAAATTAAAAGAATTATAATGAGTACACTTAAGAAAAGAGAGAGAGCTTTCAGGTAGGCAGCTCTCAAGAAGAGGCAGTGGATTTAGCACTAACACATCCCAGGAAGAATTTTCAGAGAGCAGTTTTAGATCAGTGGTAAGGGCTAGGGCTTGTTAAAGAGTGATTAACAGAAACGTTTCAGCTTCCAGCATATGTAACTGATGAAAACACAGCAAATACCCTTTTAAACTCATATCTCACTTGAAAGGAAGGGAAAAATCCTAAGCGCTAAAAATAGCCAAACAACCAAACAAACAAAAAAGGAAGCAGAAAATCAGAGAGGAAGGCAAATGCTGGGTGAGTAACTACGCTGATGGAATTTTTCCATTCCAGGGACCTAGAACTTGGGGATCAGGGCACAAAGCCTCCACAATGTGGGGAGGTGGAACTTAGGTGCCCATGAAAACCCAAGTACTCTGAAAGACTAGATGCTCCACGAAATGATGGATTTGCAAAAAAAAAAAAAAAACCCACAGAGAAAAACAATATGGAAATTTATCATAAAACAGGAAACAGAAATGACCAGCAGATATAATCCCCCGCTCAACTTGAATCATAATAAAAACACCTCTCTGAGGTACCATTTTATATCACCAAATTAATATATCTGGACAGTATCAATTGTTGGGGAGGATGTGGAGCAGTGTATTAGTCTTACATATTACTGGAGTATAAATCAGTCCAATTATTTAAAGAGTAAATGGCCACATCTAGGAAATCTGACAAGGCAAAATCCCCACAATTCAGCAATTGTGCTTCTTGGTGTGTAACCTTCACAACTCCTGCACATGTACACAAGGAGACAGGATCACGGTAACATTATTTGAAATAAGAAAAAATTGATTTGTAGTGACACATGACAAATAATAAGGCGCTCCTTCTAAACTGCCTGTTAAGACGCTAACTGCTTCAGAGGCTTCATCCAGAAGGGGCTGCACTTTTCCCATGGCCCCCAGACCTCTAGGTGTTAGGCAGCTTATGGCCCCAACAACTGCAAACAGCTTCCACTCTACCCTCAAACTGTTTGACACCAAAGCAGTCTGTTTCCAAGCCCTCCAAGGCTCTTCTGTTTATCTCACAGAAAGGGAAAGCAACAGGGTGGGAACATCCCACGGGTGGCACCGGCTGCAGGAGGCCCGTCCCACAATGCGTCCAAATGCACTCCAGCCCAAGTACGCCTCCAAAAAGGATGCTGAGACACGACCTCTGACTACTTTCCTGCCGATAAATCCCATTTTGCATCAAGTGATACTGCCCGTATCTGCCTTGATCTCTTGACACAAAAGCTGCAAGCAAACTAAACATCCATTAATAGGCGAATGTATAAACAGATTGTGGAATGTCACACAATGAAACACCGGCATCATGGATGAACCTCACCATCACAATAATGAACGAAAATACCAAGATACCAAGTAACCAAAGGACACGTACAGTATAATACCACTGTGTAAGTTTTAAAAATATGGAAAAACAATAGATTAGGCATGTGTACATATCTAATACTACTGTAGAGAATAATAAAGAAATGATAATTACCAAATCCTAATTTAAGATAGGGGTGGCATCATTGCATATTTGCAGAAAGTGAGGTGTAACTGGGAATGGATACACGGGAGCATCAGTTTTACTGGTAATGTTCTGTTAAGCTGAGTGGTGAAACACAGGTCTTCACCGTGATCTTCTTTACACATTCTTTTCTGAAATATTTCATCAGAAATGTTTTAAACAAATGAGTATGACATAAGGAAACAGAGTCAGCACATAACACTCTAGCAAAGGAGGAAACTATGAAAATTGAGGGAAGTTTCTCATAGGTGAAGGAGATAGAGAGTCCCTTGCAGGACACCTAGATGGGAGTCAAAAGGAAGAGAGACATTCTCCAGAATGTCCTGGAGTCATTCTATAGCACTGAGATGCCTATAAATTCATACAAGCATCTCATAAAATCATTTCTTCATTGGCCTAGGGAGTATATAATAGTTTCCTTTTAACTAATGAAGCATGCTTTTGCAGCAAATAATTCATTTTGTTTATCTTTCAATATACGAGACAACCTCTATACACAGTATCACTTCACTGGCAAACACACACACACACACTTTCTAGATTACCTATGCAAATGTCAAAATTTAGTCTGAAATTGCATTAATATTCATTACATAGACTTCTGGTCTCATATGGTAGCTCTAAGTAATTCCTCAGTAAATGAGTGCATACATGGAGTGAATGAAAATCATTTCAAGAATTAGTGTGTTTGTTTAAGTGGCTCAGATTCATTTTGCTTACATCCACAAGAACAACTTTCAACAAATATGAGCACCTACCACAAGCCAAGCCCTGTGCTAGACACTAGGGACATAAAGACAATTAAATTGTCTAAGAATCCACACCGTACTTGCATCGTAACACTTGTTACCTCTTAGGGAAATGACTCCCCCATTCTCCTGTGCCCTCTGTGAAAACAAGAATTTTGCTCCATTCTCTCTTTACCCCTATTCAGCAAGAAGGCATAGAGAGAGGTAGATAAATATGACAGTTAAACTGTAGAGTCAAGTAGAAGTTCTTTGGGAGTCCTCTGGGATTTGAGGACCTTCTGCAATTATGTGCATCTCTGTTCATATGGACACCAGAGATTTCTTTATAGCTGTAAGAGCAGCCAATGTTAGCAACTGGATATTTCTCTGCTTTCTCACAGTAAAATGTCCCAATTGTTGTTGTTGTTGTTTTTTGTCTACTTATTTTATTAAAGTTCTCTTCTCCTCTTTAAGCAGTAAGATTACTTTATGAGAGAAAATACACAATTTTGTTATATAAAAATATTTTACAAATACTGTCATTAAACATTCTAATTTTATTTTGAAAGAGATGATTTTACCTTTTGCAGCCCTCTTCCTCCACAGCTGGCCACCGAGACTGAGGTTCCTGCAATTTGCTCTGTAATCCTAGTTCACTGCAGGATGCCAGCCAAGAACTGGGAAGAGTCTGGAATAGTGTTTCCAGAGCAGGCCAGAGTCAGGCACCGACTGCCCTGTCCACCTCCTGCTCCTGCCTGGCTGCGCCTGGTGCTAACAGAGTGGGAGTTGATGAAGGCAAGCACGTGGGTACAGCTTCCTGCCAGGGCAGGAGCCAGCCCCGAGGCCATGGCCTGATAGACTGCTCTGGGAGGCTGTGGTTTGTCCAGTTTAACCAGCTCAACCTGAGGGAATCCCATGCCTCAGCACGTAGGGACCAGAGTGGGTGGCGGGACTTCCACCAGCCAGATGTCTTCTCAGCAAAGCCACCTTGGAATCAAACCTTTCCAGGGCAGAATCATCTCTGCTGTGTAAAAGGGAAAACTATTCTAGCAAGACGCCTTTCTCTACTTAGCGATCAACACGTCTCTCCTGGTTAAGCCCTCATTAGCAGCTAACCCCACGTCGCAGTTCACCATTTTACCCCAATGAGCATATAGAAAAGTCTCATCTCAGATTTAGACAGTCTCTGCCTGTTGCAACAACTCACAGAATATGGAATTGGTCAGTCAGAGGGGAGGAGCAGGAAAACGTGGCTGATATACCCTCAAAAGGGGGGGGGGGCTGGGACTTGAGATATTTATAACTAGAACATCATCTTCGTAGGGTGAGGCTAAACTATTTCATAAGCAGGCAAAAAATCAAGATACTCGTGATTTTTCACGTTGCCTCTGAAGTCTGAAAGAGAAATACTACTTTTAGAGCAGCCTTTATAAAGTTGAGAGAATGCTGTGAGGAATCGAACTGCCGAGGAAGTGGATTCCTGGCTTCAAAAAGTGGTTGGCCCATTCATTTATGGCAGTAACTAAATGTTATGAAAGTTCATGTAGAAACCATTATCTAAATGGCTAAATATGAAAGGCTTGCATTTCTGGCAGGGGAAGTACAACTCTGTTCACAATGTCTTTTTTTAGATTACTCTGAGGAAGAATGTCATCATTGGAATACTGCAAACCATAGCAAGTTTCATCTTTCTTTTTTTTTTAAGTGGAATGAGAAATGACATCAGTTTACATGTCATCTGAGAAGAAAGGAATTTATTTTGTTGCAAGGCATCCAAATCTCCCTTTCTTTGGGAGGCTTTGTGACTAAAACAAACTTTATCATTGTTAATTGTTTGGCCATTTATGGGATGTGTAGCTAAATAAAAGTTTGTTTCATCAACAAGTCTGTGCATTTATACATATTTTACTGACCTAGTCATTTTGTCAGTATTATACATTCGTGACCATCTTGAGAAAATGCTAACATTTAAAGCCCCATTTTTCTCACCTCAGTAGGAAAATGTCATGAAGAGTGGGAAAATCTTTTATTTGTGTATATATATGTATCTGTATTTGTATACATATATATCTCTGAATATATCCGAAATTATCTCCACCCACTCCACAATTCCATGACCTGCAAACTGTAGCTTCAAATGTTTTAATCATCCTCAATTATATCCCAACTGCTACTCCCAGTGTTCTGTCCCTTGACATCTTTCACCTGGATTAATCCAATAATCTACCAATCTCCCCACCTGTTTACAGTCCACCTTCCAACCAACTCTGCTATCCTATTCAAGTTATTTCAAGGCTCCCCTAGCCTTGTAGATCAAGTCCAAAAGCTTTACGTGGAACCCAAAGCCCTCATGTTCTGAGCCAGTATTTCTCCTTCCAAACTTTTCACCCAATTCCCCCACTCACATATGCCAACCACAGGGAAATAGTTGCCGTTCTTCAAAGCACCATGTTCTCTCTTACCTATAAGCCTTCATATCTTCATATTCTGCCAGGAAAACTCTTCTTCTCAACTTCTCCATCCCTCCCTGAAACTTTTACCTGTTGGACTCCTACTCATCTCTTAGGATATAACTCTGACATTACTTCTATATGGAAGCCTTCTCTGACACCCTCCTGCCCCTCCCTACACCTCAGTTAAATGCCCTCTGTATGCTCTCTAGGGACTCAGTGCTTAAGACATGTTTGTAGAATGAATCATTTATCCGAATAAATATCTCCAGTTGCATGAAACCTCTGATGTGACCATGAGCATTGTTTGCCATCTCATGAACATGCCCTGAACATGCCCATCTCCACAACTTTGCTCACACTGTTCACCAACCTTGGGATGGTTCCCTTCTTCCTCAGAGAAGATTTCTCTGAATATTTTAACCCTAGGCAGTATTTCAGACCTCTGAAATCAGGGCACATTTTGTGCATGTTTCTCATTTGACATTTATTTATACACAGTGCCAGATATATCATTTCTAATTTAACTTTTGAGTTATTTAACTTTTTTTTATAGATATACATCGAGTGTCCCCACCAATTATACTTTAAGCAACTTGAAAACAGGAACAAGAGACTACTTGGCATTCCTCTTCTTTCACCTACAAATTCATATAGTTCAGCACAGTGTGCACATCAGATAATCAATACAAATCATGTAACATTTGTTATATGATGAGGATAAGACTAACAAATGAAGAGAAGATTACACAATGTAACAAATATGTTTCATTTTCAAACGAATAAATTATTTCAAATGAGATCATAAACAAAATGAGAAATTCATGACCATGAACATAATTTACTGTAGGCTGGCACATGAATGCAAAGCCTGGGGAAGCAGCAGCTGCAATGGAAACTTCAATTATCGTGCCAAGAGTGTAAATGCATTCAGCTGTAGGACAAGCCAGATGTCAATCAAAAGTGGAATAAAAACAAGATGTACACTCTCTGCTCCAATTTGTATGTATATTTAACCAAAAAGCTCACAGTCCATATGGCAACAGTAAAAGCAAAAGAAAAATAAAGGAAACATTAAGAAAAATACAAAACACTAAATGTCAGAAGTAAATCAAACATATCATTAACACAATAATTGTAAGTGGGTTAAACTCCCCTAACAATCATCTCACACTGGATCATAAACAAAATCCAATTATATGCCTCCTAGAAGAGATACACATTTAACAAAGCGACTCCAAGAGACCTGTTCATCCCACAAACGTTTTTTATAGGGTATCTACTGTATACCAACACCATGCTAAGTGATGTAAAGGTTAATTGTTAAAAGCTAGACAGATAATACACGGCAAATCCAGACAAAAAGGAAGCAAGAGTCACAATATTAACAAGAAAGTAGCAGTGCTAAAGGCAAAAAGCATTACGTAAAACAAAACATTGTTTTTTTTTTATGGCTGTTAATGAAAAATACAACCTACCAGTGGATTGGATTGATAAATATATCACTAGAAATATTAAATATAGCCATCTATTTTATATATCTGTTATAAGTATTAAATAAGAAAATTCAACTAAAACATCTAACTCAATACCTTCCACACGGTTCATGCTCAAAGACTACTGGTTGTTTTTAGTATTTGTATTACTAATAGTAGTATTTGCAATATATAGCCATTGATATTCATGATTCAGATAACATAGAACTAAGGTATATAAAGGAAAATATTGGAAATGCAAGGAGGAATTTACAGAATCATAGTAAGAGAAGAATGAGTGGGTTTTACCACAGTTCTTTTTGTTCTTGAAGCGACAAATGACAGAACGAAAAATAGTAACAAGATCTAAATAATAATGACTGATTATGTATGTTGTTTTGTGTGTGTATATATATATGTATACATACACATTTTTATATGTTCTACAAACTCCATGAGCTACAAAACAATATACTTCCTTTTCCATCACTGATGAAATATTTACCAAATTTTATCATTTATAAAATCAAAATAAAAATCACACTTGCTAAAGAAAAAGATGGTCATCATTCTCTGACATCTGCCAAAAAAAAAAAAACCTGGAAATAAATTAAGAAATAATAGCACCTAAAGCAAAACAAGAACTTGAAAAGTTGTATTTATTTACCTAAATAGCTCTCGGATCAAAAAGAAAAATAAAACTAAACTTATAGAATAATTAAAAATGATAATAGTTGCAACACTATACAGGAAAATTTGTGAGAGGCAGGAAAAACTGGACTCAGAGGTAAACCAACATCTTTAAATGATTTTAATATTCAAAAAATTAATAATAAATAATAAATGACCAAACATTTATATTCAAAAAGTAGATATACAAACTGAGAAAAAAAATAGGAAGGTTAATATAGATAGAGTAGAAAACGATTTTGAAAACAGAGAAAGTGTAAACAATTTGCAAATAAACTCAATGTCTTGTTTCCACAAGGACAATAAAAATAAACCCATGATAATACGATGATGAAAAAAGATAACATAAAGATTCACAAATAGAAATTATCAAGTGGATATGACAATATTTAGAGATACAGTTCTCTAAATATTGATATATAGAAGAGATATATAATATCTCTTTCTCTCTCTATACATATAAACATATACAGAATTACAAATATAAAGAGAACTATATATAATACAAATACATATATAGAGAGAGTGCGATCTCTATAGCTTATGTTTGCTCTAATAATTTTGAAGAGCTCAATAATCTAAAGACAAGTTTTTTTGAAAAAATATTAAAATTAACTGAATAAAAATAGGAAAACTGAAAAAATTAAAGAAGAACTTGAGCAAAACTGTCTCAAAATCTTTCTTTTAAAAACTCTTTCACTGTTACACTAATTTCCAGGAAAAGAAAATTTCCATGCAATAATAACAATTTCATCATCATCAACTTTATCATCATTATCTGAACAGGGGCCACATTTATTTAAAGCTCACAATGATCCAGGAGCTGTGATAAGGGCTTTGCCTATATAATCTCATTTAATCACACAAAACCTCCTTAGGATAGGTGCTGTGTTTATATGTTGCAGGTGATGAGTGATTCTTAGACAAGTTAAGTAACTTGCCCAAGGTTATAAAAGTGGCAAGGAACAACCCAGGATGTGAACTGAGGTCTGTACATATCCCCAAAGCCCAAGGGCTCAAGGGCTGCGCTTAACTGCCTTGTCTATATAAACAGTTTCTGAAACACAGAGAAAGACGAAAGCCATCCAAATTAATTTCGTCAAACTTGCATAAACTTGACAGCAATCTTGATGAAGCTTGTAAATAATAAAAAAAAAAGGAAAAC